AGAGAGAGAGAGAGAGAGAGAGAGAGAGAGAGAGAGATTGATTTTTGGAGGTGAATATCGTATATTCTATAAAATAGGGAAAATCCTAGATTATTAAAAAACTTGTAAATGGAGATACCTAACTCTAATGGGAGCCACTGAGCAAATACTGATCCCCCCTCCTCTTGTCCCAATTCACAGCCCACATTTGACTATGCTGTGGATTATAACTACTTTCCTAATGGCCCTTTTAGTGAATCCTTTTCAATCTATAGTGAATCTGCAAAGATCAGATGGGAAAAGCAGATCTGTATTCCCTGTAGGGATAGTGCAAGCTTGGAGATATTGCCAGTGTAAACTAGATTGTGAGTCACACATATCAAAATGAGTTCTCTGTGCACTTTTACTTATGAAAAGTTTAATTTTTCATTAGGGGAATACCCACAAGTGACATCTGTGAGGCTATGAAGGTGAGACTATGAAGGTGAAGGCACTTCAAGTAGGCAGACCAAGTGATCTTGGTAGTGATAACCTGACAGTTTCTTTGTAGCTCCTCTGATTTGATTTTTTTTTTTTTTTTTTTAACACAGTCTCTGTAGCTGTGGCTAGGCTGAAAACTTGTTTTGTAGACCAGGCTGACCTCCAACTAACAGAGATGGAACTGCCTCTGGATTGTTGAGATTAAAGGTGTGTCACCATGCCTAGCTGTAGATCCTTTAAAAATATTATTTTAGACCTGGGCAGTAGTGATATATACCTTTAATCCCAGCACTTGTGAGGTAGAAGCAGGCTGATCTCTGCTTTTGAGGCCAGTCTGGTCTACAGAGCAAGTTCAGGATAGCTATGGCTACACAGAGAAACCCTGTCTCAAACAAAACAAAACAAAAACAATTTTTAGAAGGCTCCCATGCCTTTAATCTTAGTACTTATGTTAAGATAGGAGGAATGTGAGTTCTAGGCCAGCCTGAGCTATATATTAAGACTATCTAGAAAATAAATCAGATTGGAACAAAAGAAAAAACAAAACAAAAAACCTCACAACAACAAAACACTCTAAGCCAGTGGTTCTCAACTTTCTTAATGCTTAAATACAGTATCTCATATTGTAGTGACTCCAACCATAAAATTATTTCTTTGCTACTTCATAAGTGTAATTTGCTACTGTTATGAATTGTAATCCAAATATCTCATATGCACAATATCTGATATTCAACCCCTGTTAAAGGGTCATTTGACCCCCAAAGGCATCTCGACCCACAGGTTGAGAACTGCTGCCCTAAACCAATTAAAAACAAACAATAACAAACAAAAATAATTTTCTTTTGCAGACAGGGACTCACTTTGTAGTTCCTGATGGTCTGGTGTTGACAACCCTGCCTCAGTTTCCAGAATACTGGGATCTCAGCATGAGCCACCACACTCACCTTCTAAAGCCATTATTTTCTCTTAACAAATGATTTTTGTATTAAAACTCAATGTAAGTTGTGTCGCTATTGTAACTCACAGGCGAAACAGTAGGAGGGAAGGACTCATTGCTTTCAAGGAGTAAATAATGGAATCCAATGAGAAGGGAAGCCATACTTTTATAAGTATCTGCTGTGTAAGCATATCAGTAAATTTTGTTGTCATATCTGTCTCTTTATTTTCAACAAATAACCACTTAGTTTTGATCTCTGTGGTGTAATTTGTCTGCTTTTATTTCACATGGAAGCAAGTAAATTTGACATTTTATTCATGGATCTGATTTTAATCTCTCTGACTTGCTTTTGTGAAGTGCTGCATTTAGATGGCTTTTGTTTTATGTTGCTTCTTGGGAACAGTATTTTAAAACAATTTGAAAAACACTTTGGTTTTTAAGTATTTCATGTAATTGTTTTTGAAATATTACCGCCTTTTCCTTGGTGGTTTTCTCAGGGTGACTGCATTGTCTTTCTCTTCAATGAGTGTCTTGTAATCCCCCTTTGATTGCAGTAGTTCTTAGTAGTGAGTCCATAGCTGATTAACCTTGGGTCTCTCCTGGTGAACTCCATCAGCATGCTGCTCCAGGGTTCATGCTGAGGCTTTTGATTTCAATGTAATTTGTATCCTTTCATGCTGGTAACTAGGGGTAAGAAAATAAAGTGGTTTGTGGTTGTAGTAGGATCTAGGAGGAAGTATCTGTCTCAGAAAATAGGATTTTATAGGATGTAGCCTAGTAAAAACTAAACAGGAACTTGGTTCGTTACTTCACAGAATTGATGGTATTGTTTTATTAAGTGTTCAGCTCTGTTACTAAGGATTTGATTTTTATCTTTTTTGAGATAGTAGTTTCATGTAGCCCCAGCTGGCCTTAAACTGTGTAGCTAAAAATGACCATGAACTCCTGATGTTGCTTCTATCTTCCAAATGTTGAGATGACAGGCATAAGCCACTACGATCAATATGGTGAATGTTTATATCTTAGTTGTGTAGTTCT